TACCTCCTATTGCTGAACAAGATACCAAACCCTATACCCGATTTGAAGTATTCTCTAATGGTTTTAAATGTGACAATAGACTATTATTTAATTGAAGTTATATCCAGCAACTCTCACAAAAATATAGAAGAAATATTGAGAACAACAAATATCTAATTAGTTGGAAAGACCCCAATATCTAATGCTGGTGTCGACATGTTTATCTGTGACCTCAATCCATCTGTTACTAATGTAAAAGAGATTGTTCTGTATGGGCAACTCTAAAAAGAACCTCTCTAAATATAATAATTAGATATTTTCCAGAACAAATCCCAGTCTCTAAAATTGAAAATAAAGAAGTTGAAATCTTCTATCTAACTGCTATAGAGGATGTTGAAGAAACTTTTACAGATATACAAACTATAATAGATCCATTTGATTATCAAGACATGTTAGCAACACTTGCACCAACTCTATCCGAATATTATACCACCTACCTACAACTTTATCCAAATGTTGAATTTAGCCAAGAAGGAATCCAATATGGTAGATTGCATTGTACTTGGTATTATCTTGAACATATTAGTACTTGATTATCTCAAAATTTCAATAGAAGAGCCTGGCCTAGAGATTGGAAAGGACCAGCCACCCAATGTTGGTGTGGAGATAAACTCTACTCCCTTTCTGATGAATGCTCCAAATGTCATACTGACTTTCAGTTATGGCATACCATTAAGCAATATCATTTGGAAGAAATTGCTAAATGTTATTGGCCTACACCTAGTGAAGAAGATGAAAATAATGATACCTGGGATAACCTTATTGAAGAAACTGACCAAACTTAGTCTGAAATGAACCTTATCGATGATACTCCAATAGAAAACTTCTTTAGAGAACCAGAAAGTAGTGACCAGTATTTACTAAGTGATTATGATCCTAATAAAGAAATAGATATATTTAGCAGTATAGAATTTGATAACTCTAATGATCCTAATGCGAAACTAACATTAACTATCCAACCTTGGTGGATATCCCCTTTGGAAACCCCTTCTCTAGAATATTTGTTAGAATTTGACAATTATTCTAAATATTATCTTTGTAACATAGTTTGGTGGAGAGTAGTCAATACTACTTATTATTATTACTAATTATTTTGATATATATATACTTATATTTTATTACAAAAATCTAAAAAAAAAAAAAAAAAAAAAAAAAGAGATTATATACATTACAAATTTAAAAACCAAAACCTGATATTCTATTCCTATTATTATTATTTCTCTTTCTTTTTCTTTCCTCTGCCCTTAACCTTCTTAATTCCTCCTCATCATTTGCTAACCTTGCCCTCAATCTATTTCTTTCTTTCAATAACCTAGTATACCGTTGCTCCAACATCCACCCATCTTGCACCCTTGTGACTGCATTTGCCCTCAACTCTTCTAACTCTGTCTCCAAACTCTAAATTCTTCTTCTTTGAGAGGCTACCAACTGCATTAAGCTATAAGAAATTTATTAGCTTTATACAAAAAAAAAATAAATAAAGAAGAAGAAGAAGAAAAGAAATTTTGCATTAAATATTTACTGTCCATTTTTATTTTGGACCACCTCTAAGGCCTTATATAGGGCATTGTTGCTACTACGGTGAGCATGACGAATATTTCCAGAAAGACTATAACGAGGCATTTTATTATAATTGTTATTGTTGGAGTTGTTGTTGTTGATATTGAGAAGTTGAATTTTTTTTTTTTTACAAAAAAAAAAAAAAGAAGAGAAGCGACAAAAGAACTATAATCTTTAATGAACAATGACGAAACAAAATTAAAAAGTAATCAGAAACTGATTTACCAAATCTGGAAATCAATTAGAAATTAACTTAACAAATGTAGAATAGTAGAAATT